TTGGAGAGGTAGGGTGATTACTTAGATACAGTTTTTACGAGGGAAAAGCTTGTGTTCATAGTTAGCACTGGGGTAGGCATGATCATGTTAAACACTATGACTATCATTTTACCAACAACATGATACAAATTGATATAGTTTGAAACCAAAGACAACAGAAGACAAGTAAAAGGGACGAACAATGTATTAAGAACAGTGTCATGGAAAAAGTGAATGTGTGTTAGCGAAACAAAACAAAGTAAAATGAATGAGAAGGAGAATGAGAAAGGATAGAAGCAAAGAGGGTTAGGGTCTAACGAGAAAAATAGAAAGGATTAATTCAGCCAAAAACACCACTTGATTAATCTAAAGGTTGTAAAACAACTACTTCCAACACAGACCAAATTCAGTGCCCTTTGGACAACAAAACAGTATTGGTGGGCAAAGAAACGATAAATTTAAAATTGAAGACACGAGTTGGGAGACTGAAAAATGATTAACTGACATGATACCAATATTAACCAACTATTTAAAACTAATTTACACAACACTATTACGAGAAGCCTCCATGGACACCAATAAAGATTGAAAAACAGAAGCATTAATGTGTGCGAACCCACAACAATTGTGGTCGAGAGGGGTGGGGTGGGATGTGATAGCATGTGGGGTTGGTTTATTTACGACTCCACATGATATCAGGAAATCAATCAGATATCACAATATAGACATATAGAGGTTTATGCACACAAGATAAAAGCACTAATTTTTATCATCGGTCACATGAATATTAAAGTCACCTACGATAATTACTAATTGCTCGCAATTTACGTATACACATATTATAAGTTAGAAGCTAAACTCTAGAAGACTCTTTAGAATTAAGCTATATCTACGATAATTACTTTATCTGTTTTAAGTACCAAAGCTGATAAAAACTCAGAGGAATTCTGCTAAGAATTCTGAATAAGGACCTGGTGCACGGTACACTGTAACAAATAAGATTGGCTGCAACGTTTTCCAGGTCGGATGCGTAAGACTAAAAACAAGACTTTCAAAGGAGGTATAATTTAATTTTTGTTTAGTATTGATAAGTACATTTGAGTCAAAGATGGCTGCAACTCCACCTCCTCGGCCTGTGCCTTGGGCAATATGAGTATTGATATGGCTGGGTGGAGTGGCCTCATTTATGCTGACATATTCTTCATGTCTCAACCAAGTTTCAGTGAGACAGCATATATCAATATTATAATCTGATATTAAATCATTTACCAATATTGCTTTAGATGCTAGAGATCTTATGTTTAAGAGACCACATTTAATCTTCCTGTTTTTTTGCACTGTAGTAGTTGTTACATTTACTTTTATTAGGTTATTATGTATGACACCTCTAATAGGTTTTACCTTAAATTGTCCTTGGGCAGACACACACACCGTTAATATTGGGTATTTTATTGGGTTCGGGATTCCTATGGATGACTGCCTAGGAGAGAGCGTAGAGAAGCGTGTAAGACTGCGACTCCGCCTCCTGGTCTCAACTCCAGTTTGTCATGGATTAAGTCCACAAAGCCCTGAAATGTTTGCCGAAATGAGATTTGTACCTTCCAAAGTAGGATGAATGCCATCCCTCTTAATCAGACCAGGTTTTGCCCAGAAGGCTGTCCAATTCTTTACGAAGCCCACATTGTTTGCTGGGCACCACCAAGACAACCAGCGCTGAAATGATGACATGCGGCTATACATGTCATCATTGATCAGATTGGGGAGGGGACCAGAGAAGATTACGGTGTCCGACATTGTTTTAGCATAACTACACACCGACTCCACATTAAGCTTGGTGCATTCTGATTGGCGTAAACGAACATCATTACCACCGACGTGAATGACAATCCTATGTATTTACGTTTATTTTTAGCCAGCAGTTTAAGATGCGCCTCAACATCGCCCGCTTTGGCTACAAAAACACAGTAAAGTAAGGGATATAGTAAAGTATGTTTCTTATCTTTTTTACCCAACTGAATCACAAGGTTTTCATCTGAAAACTGCTCAGCATATTTGTTACATGTTTTTATCGCCCGCAGCACAGTCTATAGTGTATTCCTTGGAGTCAGAAGGACTGAATTTCACACTGAAGTGATGTACATGTCCGGCCTGCAGGAAAACCAGAGTAAGAAAATGAAAGTAACATCTACTTGTTGATCAAATAAAAATGCAGAATGATTGTATGTGCACTGTATCATAGTTTACTCACAGTGGGGTCAGCATCGTTCTCCTTCTTTATTCTCTGTGCACATGGACCAGTCTGCAAAATGAGAAAAGAATATATAGATGTATTGTTGTTACAGTAATGAACTTCACTCATCAAATCCATGTGTGAACAGATTTGACCTTAAAGGAGTTTTATTATTACTTATTTATGCCAATTAACCCTGTACAAGTTTTTGTGTAAGTTAACACATATTTTCTTTTAGTTTTTCTGTTGTTAAAATGCAGCCCAAATGTACTTCAATCATCAATCATTTTCCCGTATTTGTATTCTTTGTTTACCATTGAGGCATGTGAGAAAAACATATTTAAGAGTTCACGGTTACATGTGGTGAGAAATATTGTATCCAAATTGTCTTTTTGCCATTTCATAAAAAACACAGTTCGGCCCCAAATTGTTTTTGAAGCTAGCACCCTAGGAGAAGGTCCTAAATCGATTTGTTATCGTAACATCGGACCTGAGGCCGTATGTTTTGGACACTCGGGTGAAGCTGTCAACTGATCAGCATCTACAAACCTGGCAGTCTGCAATGAACTGGTGGTCTCCTGTGAGCACTGGTCACTTCAAAAATAAAAATAAATAAAATGCAGAATTGTTGTGTGTTTCATTTCAATCTTTATTTCGAACAGATTAAAAAACAACAAATAAAAAGTAACAGATGTGAAAAACAAAAAGCCGTATTGTTAAAATACAGTATTTATCCACATTCATGATACAAAAAAGTCTTCATATTAATAATAATAAAAAATAAATCATATGTGTCCGAAAGGGAGTAGGAGGAAGCAAATGCTTATTAATTTCCACCGCTTACTTGATCATTGATTGTCCTTTAAATCATTTAGTGGGAATGCTGTTAACAGCATTCCAACTAACTGTTATTCTACGCACAACATTTTTATTATTCCGCCGGTATTTTGCCGCGCTTCTCCTCCCGCATTGAACATCGCAGAAACTCCGTTCAAACATCAAAACGTTCAGCTCGGTCGGGAATCGATGGCTATTACTTTTCTCATTCATAACTTTCATAATTCAAGAGATACATCCCATAATACATCACATTTTTAACATTGAAGTCAATGGAGAAAATCTTCAGACTTCAACAAATCTTCATGCAATTCAACTGCTAACTGTTCATTCATACTTTCACTCAGACACCTCATTCCAACTTTAAAATGTTACACATCCTTCTGATATTATTCGTGTAAAACAACTTTTAAATCTGATTCTTACTTTTAGAGATATTAAACATTGTTCAGACCTTGTTTTAGAGGTTTTCTTCACATTTTAACATTAACTAGAGTGTGTGATGTCACAGCAAGAGTGGAGGACAGCTTGAAATTCGCATTCATATTTTGTTTTTTAAACTGCCATAATTCCCAAACCCTACATTCCTGAGACATAATTTATCATGACAAACGTAGGAAAACATCTCGTAGCTTGAAAAATGACAAATAATTAGGCAAAAAATAATTAAACAAAATGCTTTTTGAGGGCATGAAGTGACAAAAACGTTCAACATTCCTCTATTAAAGCCCATTGTAATTTCAGGCTGATATTTCCTCACGGCAGCAGCCGCACACCTTTAGTTAAACTGCCAAAAAGGCCACATTATTAACCCGAAACTACACAAAAATTACACTTCAGATACTCAACTTCCTTGACATGCTTCACGTTTTCAAATTTCACAGATATCTGTTACGGTTCTTCCACAAAACGCTCACATGTAAGAGGTTCATCTCTCATTCAGAACAATGAAGCCTTTGAAGTCTAGGCACCTCGTTAGCTCAACTATAAACACCTGTGCAATGGAACACGATGATGTCATCACTCCAACTGACATGCTCAGAGCAGCAGACTTCAGATAGCAGTGTGCAAACAGTCCAGCCGTGAAGACATCTACGGGACACTTTTGAGATTTCTTCAAATGCCGTTGCCATGGCAACACGATGCTCGCCTTGAAACACGGTTTTCTCATAACTTCAGTGAAAATACTCCAAACAGCCTAGAACTTCACAGGTTTGGTAACGATGCAGCCATCAACGCATCTAAGCGTAGTATGGGGTGTCATCAAATGCCGTTGCCATGGCGACGGACCACTCGCCATGAAACACGATGTGGCTGTAAGTCCCATCGACACGGTCCAATCGTCCCCCAATCTTCACTTGTATATCACCGGTCCATGACGTCACACCTGCCCAGTGGGCAATCATGATCGATCGAAATACGTTTGTGTTTCCTATGTAGAAGACAAGTAGTTTTTGTATCAGTTTGATTCTCTACGTTAAGGGACTTCTTTAACGATCACACTTACGAATACGACTTTTTGGAATGCGATTTGACGGTACGACTTTACATTACAACATTCTTCTTTCACTTCTTAAATCTACTTTTTACTAAGTAACTCTTGTGACCACGATACTTACACACAACTCTCTTCTTTTGTTGATAATACTATTACTGTACATACATATTTATTACATTCGTCGTTATGAACTATGTGATACTATTGACCAGTTATCTCTGTAACGAGTTCCATTACGAAATACGATATTAATAAAGAACTCGATTGACAAACTCTTACATTACA